TGCAAATCCTCCACCACAAACACCAGAAGTTTTTGACCTCACTAAATAGTTTGGTCAAAAATGCATGTGTCCCTTGAAGTGGACATAATAAGCAGGTATATCCTGGAATGGAGTTCTTTCTCCGCAGATCACCAATCTCTTCACTCCTTCCTCCTCCACTCAGTAAACATGTCAAAAAATTATTGAAAGACAATAGTGCTTTATCCTTAAAACATATTACTTTATTAAAAGCATAAAACAGTGGCCACTCACATGGTGTGGGTGCTAAATTACACCAATATAAGCGTATAGGTAATCCTGCAGTACCCTTGTACATGCAAACAGAGGAAACTTCACTCATCTGATGTGACAAAGAGTATGAATTGCAGGGGTCTGTGCATCATAACATTACCATGCACATGAGAAACATGCGGAAAGGTACGCAAATCCCATCTATGCTTTAGCAACCTAATCACAGGTGTCCCATGTCAAATAATTCTCTCGTAAGCAGAAAATTGCTGGTTGATGTTTTTGGAGATTAACAAACAACTGAGTGGATTTCAGCGGGTCACCCGGTCCTTTGACATTCTAAGCAATCTAGTGGATCTCATCCATCATAAAATAGTATAGCAATAAAAGTGAGCGCTTCAAAATAAGCAGATGAACACTCAAGGAATCCAAATAAAACCTTGTTATAAACATGTAATAAAAAAATGCAGCGCTGAACAATAAAATATAATAAATATTGTCCCCAATAATCAAGGCATATATCAGTGACAGTCTATATAGTGAAGACAATGTGGTATAATGATCCAATCCAGTGGCGGGTGCTTCCAGTGATAAGGTAAGAATTACGCACTCAAGCTTAATTCAATTACGCAATGTGTAAATCAACATGGATCTCCTTCACAGGTAAAGGTCCGGACTGGAACTCAGGGTGATTCTCCCTCAGGGTGGTAAGGTTATGAGCCCTCCAGCTGGCCAGAGGTCCCTTTAAGGGATAGGTGGGTACAGATGCCTGCTTACAGGAGCTTCCCTCTCTGGATATGGTGGATTGGTAACTGGATCACAGCAGGGCTCTATAAATAACAAGGGAGACCAAGGAGAGTGCCCATAGTGTAGTATTTTGTGTCAAAATGTATTCAATATCAAAAGGATTCAATAAAAAGCAAACAAGCAATTACATCAGCATCAGGTATGTAAAACAGATTGACCATCCAGGAACTAAGATGGCCGCCGGGCCTCCACGTGGGTCCGGCGGCGTGACGTCACAACGTCCTAGGCTCCTTCTAACGCGTTTCATGCGCACGCACTTCTTCAGAGGTGGAGACTAAGTGACGCGATGACAATGAAGCCGGCTATTTATACGGTAGATAGCGCGTGCTCATTGGGCCATCTCCATCATAACCTCAATGAAAGTATCAGATATGGAGAATTCTTAAAGCCTCATTTTATTTTATTTTTATTTTTTTATTTTTAGAATGCCACTATGCCTGCCCCCCTCCATTTATGGGAGCTATTCTGTAGCTTCCATCAATAAAATAAAAAGCACTCTATAAACAGAGGACAGGTGGATGAATGAAAGGTTCGTATAGCACCCAGATAGTGTTCTTGAAGCAGCTCAAAGCAGTCATGCTTGGCTGTCCAACCAGCCAACACGGCTTGAAACAGCTCATAAACTGGATTAAGGATATCCTAAATAACTGGCAAATTGTAAGGAGTGATTCCAGAACAGTTTGTTTACACCTTGAGAGCTTGCAGAGGAGTAAAAATAAAACTTATTTAAGGTAGGAGAAACTCTGAATGAATTTCTTGCTCATCAGAGCTTGTAAAAAAGGTTTAATGTTCCCCAGTAGCAAAGGAATATATGGGCAAGCCAAGACAACTGATCTTTTAGAAAGGTTAAATGCCCTCAGGTTATCCCTGCTTTTCTGTAGATGTTGTTTATTCTGATCCAGCCATGTAGCTGTATAGAAGAAAATTTCTCAAAGAAGTGGGTCACTCCCTGAGCAATGACTTGCAGCTTAGCTGGATACAGCATAGCATGTTGTAGTTTAAGATGTTGTAGGCATTTATTTACCTAAGTGAATTTCTTGTTCAAAATTTTTTATTTTGTTCGTAGGGAGGGGTAACAAAGATAAAACAAATAAAGTACACAATATACAATACTTATACAGTGAAAAATTTTTTGGAAGTGCAGTATTAACCGTAAACATCAGAACGGTAACAGGTAAGAACTGGTTAACAATATTAGGTGGGGAATGTGAAGGTGGGAGAAGACAGGGGGAAGGTATGCGACTCTGCTAATGAGAAGAAAAAAAAAAGAAAAAAAAAAAAAGAAAAAAAAGAAAAAGGAGCTGTAAAAGTAAAGGGGAGGGTACCAGAATAGTCAGGGGTACCTAAGTGAATTTCATATGAATTTTCTGTACTTCTGTACTTCTACTCAGGGTAATAAGATACTTTGACACCATTGTACTCAACTTATTTGCACTCATTGGCCTGCTTTAGAATGAGTTCCTTATAATTGTAGTCAGACTAACTATTCAGACATTGTTATGTCTCATTTAGTTCTCTAAATCCTCATTCTTAAGTTCATTCACCTTAGTAAGCTGAAGTGTGGAGGAGAAATCCTCCTCCAAGGGGATCCAGTCTCTGGTCTGTCTTCAACATCACTCACTCTGCTCCATAGCCACTGTTCTGTATCTGATTTTCTGTAAATTTCATAATTGGGCCACTGCATCTCCAATCACCCCAGTCTGACTTTTAGGCTGATCCATTGAAGAGTTACATTTAGTAATAGCTTATAATGCCTCTTTCAAAGTAGGTTCTACTTTTGAATCAGTGGTGTTTGGGCCTACTAAGATGACCATCCTTATAAGGGAGCTTTGCCATTAACCTGCTGGGGTAAGGGTAACCACTGCTTTTCAAGTTTTCTGCAGGTCACCCAAGTTCTTTTGAACTTCTTCTTCATCAGCTGCAGGAGTTGCAGGAGCAGCAGGGACAATATCTTTTTAGCTGGAGTGGGGAGATCTCAATTCAGTTTAGCTGCCTCTTTTTTCTCCTTCTCTGCTTGACAACTGTCATGTGGTCTTTCACCTGAAGCAGTGTAATTTTGTCTCTCAGCCATGGCCACTGCTTAATCTCACCCCTTAGAAGTCTTGATGGCAGGGATAGTAAAACATGAACAAACCACTGCATTCTTAACCATGGATTTTGGTGTCCTCAAAGTGAGGATAAAAGGATAAGCAAGAAGAAACTGCATGGGAGCTCTGTGATGTGCTTTTGCTCACTTGCCTCTCCTGGCCATGCACCAACAGGAAGTGAAATATAATTGGTTAAAGGCAAAAGCTGTTCCAGTGACACCTCTCTAAAAGTAGATTTCCTCTTTACCTACTCTATTCAAAATAAAAAATGCCAAAATATTAGTTATGTTTTTAGACTACGTAATGTCCATTGCTACCCATAGACATCATACAGTGCAAAGCACTTGAGGAATACTGTGTATAAGCAATCATTTGTACAAAGCATCTTTCATTGTTTACAAGATTCATTTGCAGTGGTGCCATATTAAAATGATGTATTCAAGAAATGTGCATGTGTGCTTTAAAATATTGTTATTATCTTAAGATGAGAATATACTGTAGATGCATGACATGATCATTTTCCGAAAGAAAATGGCTGAAAAGTTACAGCTCTACAGACTTTCTAAATGTTCTGAAAATAAAAATCACAAATGATCTTCTACAAATGATAGAAATTTTGATTTCAAATTGCCCTATTCTTAACCACCCAATTCATGTCTGTGCCTAGCCTAATAATGAATGAATCTTGACAAGCTGAGTGCGTTCATTTAACTTGAAATTTAATCTAACAATAGGAGTCAATATAATGCAGCGATTGAATAAGAAGTGAGCTGAATCCCCATTTTTAACCATCTTTTCTACACAGCAGCATTTTTGTATACTGAAGCAGTCTAAAAAGATAAATTAATTTAGAATGAATAATTGGCATGTGAGCTAATCTTGGAGCTACTTTCTTCTGCCCTCTGTATGGTATAGTTCTTTCACTGAAAGCTGCACCCTTTGCTGGTGTATATCAATGCTACAGTATATCAAGGTTAGTGATAAGGCTAACAGGATAAAGGCCACAAAGGTTAGCAATGTAACAAACGTATGTTTAACCATAATTTGTTTAGTGATCCCTTGAGATCAGTTTTACATTTTGAATACAGAAACCTTATGATTTAAATAATGTAGGTCTTGCAAAAAGCTTCCTTTAAGTGTATTAAAAGTCAAAGATTTTTCTTTGTTGTTTTGGAGAGTGCAGTGATGGGTAAACCCCCTGCCTGTGCCCTTGATAAAGAATTCACTCTGTCTGTTTGCCATGTCACCCAGGCTTAAAGTGATGAGAAACTCAAAATTTTGAGTTGCCACTAAAACACATCAAGGAGAAATCTTTAAATAGAGACAATTTGTTTTGGTGACAAATATCTAAGTAGGGATTTCCTTCACTCTAGAGAGATTTTTTCTCATTTTCTGTTGTATCTACAGGACAGGAGGTGAAGGAAATCTTGTTAATGGGACCATTGAAAAAGATAAATTTTACCCATTCCCTACTCTATCCAAAGCAAAAAAATACAGTTTTGGCTTTAGATATGCTTTAACCCCTTGGCGCCAGTGCCCTCCCGACCCTTTAAGGGTTTCAGAAGCCGGGAGGCAGGATGGGATTTCAGGGTCATGTGACTGCCGTGATTCGCTGTCACGGCGGTCACATGATTGGGAAAGGTCCCGATCGAAAAAGGAGATCAGGACCTTTCCGTGAGTATCGGACATGTGTGCTGGGAGTTCATTCTCAGCACATATGTATTTCTTAATTGCAAGCAAATGTGCGACCGCTCGGTGTCAAGGCCCAGATGTTGGAAGGTCACACATTTGCGTACAGCTGGCGCCAAGGTTAAGCATTTGATATCAACAAAAAAAAAAAACCTCACAGTTTTTTTTTTTTTTTTTTTTACTTTTCAGAAAAACGAAAGTCAAGCCTTTTGGATCAGCTTACCAATACTAGTGGGACAGTTATTGGAGTCTCCTCTTGCATTGTCATCATCCTCATTATAATATCTGTCATTGTACAGATCAAGCAACCTCGTAAGAAGTACATCCAAAGGAAATCAGAGTTTGACCAAACAGTATTCCAGGAGGTGTTTGAACCTCCTCATTATGAGTTATGTACTCTTAGAGGTACAGGAGCTACAGCAGACATTTCTGATGTCACAGAAGATTTTGAGAATTATCATAAATTACGGAGATCATCTTCAAAATGCATTCACGACCATCACTGTGGATCACTGTCTAGTGCTAAGGGAAGTCGTAGTAACCTTAGCACAAGGGAGCCTACTATACTAACAGACACTCCAAACCCACCCACTAATCCCAGTTTACAACCAATGAACAGAAGAAACATCCTTGTAATGAAGCATAGTTATTCACAGGATGCAGCAGAAACATGTGACATTGATGAAATTGAGGAAGTCCCCACCACAAGCCACAGGCTGTCGAGACATGACAAATCTGTCCAGCGGTCAGTATCAATAAATTTTTGATGAAGACTTGTATCTAAGGACTTATTGTTATCTCCAAAAAATTACTTACTATCTTTTTATGTTTTATCATTTTCCTTTACATCATTTAAAAAATTTGTTCCCTATATTTTTGCTCCTTTTATTTGAAAAAAAAAAACAGACAGTGTAAAACAATTAGAATTTACAATAAGCACACATCAGTTGTCGCAGGAAAAATAAGCTAAACATTTTGTTTTGAGCTGCACAATCTTTACAATGCTCAGTTTATATAACAAGCAGGGTATTTGACCACAGCAGTTGACGCCATACAAGGGTCCTGGTAACAAACACAAAAGTCTCCATAACTCCAATATATTCATTCAACTAATTATTGTGAGAAATTTCATGTCACATAGGGTAAATAGCTCATGTTTTTGGAGTTTTGCAAGGTCCCTTCCTCAGCGTAACTTGAATGACAAGTTGTCATGAGGAAGGGACTCTATGGGGCCCCAAAGCATTGGCTTTTTGACCTATATAGCATGGAATTCACAATAAATCATGAAACAGATGTAAAACAGAATGCTTGAGACTTGGTGGCTTCTCTCTGTTTATAACAGGTAAATATGAATCTTCTTTTCTGATTTTTTTTAGTAATACTGAAAAGTGGAGTTATTATAGTTCATGAATAAGAAAACATATATACCTTTTTTAGATAACACTCTATCAGATTATAGTAATGGAGAATAGATAATTTTAGTATCAGATTGCACTTTTTTGATATCTCAATGCTTGTCATGTACCTACATGCATGCAAAGCCACACTAGCATATGCTGTATGAAACTTTACAAATTTTCCTGCATAAAAACCCTATTTATGAATTATATCTACATATGGCACATAGTTCTGTTTTATAATACAATATACAAAGTAGCAGGACTATTTGGTGCATAACATTTTTTTAAATATGAAATGTTCAATGAATGCCTATACAGTACATTAGAAGTATTTCCACATTATCAGGGTAAAACCTTTCCATAAATCATTGGATGTTATAATACTCTTTTGTATGTTTTTCTGTGTTTGTAGTGCATGCATATGTGTGCTTCTGTGTTTGTTTACATGCACTACATCCTTTCTTTGCACATTAAAACCACTTATCTCTTAAAAAACTCTTCTCTTCTTTAAGTGTGTTGCATGCCAGTTTTTTGTTTTTGTGCTGTGCGATTCACTAATTTAAACCATCTCTAAATGTAATCCGTTTTATGCAAACATATTGAATGAAATAGCCATAACATTCCAGGTTCTGCCTCATTGGGTCTCTAAACAAACATGAAACTGAATACAACACAACTAGGGTATGAGAAGCAAACCGAAGGTAAGTCTGAACTATGTAGCATGTCTTTATTGCATTTTAATTGTAACTAATAACATTAAAGGATCACTAACACCTATGCATGAAAATAAATGATGCAGTTTAATGTCTTCTAGTAATTACATTTTCTTTGATATATTACCTTTGGAAAATTAGAAATACAGTTTAAGGATTAAAGTGGCCAACGAGGTTCACTTTAAATCTGCAAAAATCACCAAAAATCAATCTTCAAATTTGGGTGGAATTAACTCACAAAATGCTATTTGTATATGGTATTTCCATTTCCCAGGTCAGATCCCATGTTTAACATAAACTCTATTGAATGAGTAATTTTTGGTTATTATTATCCATTATCAACCTTTGTTTTTATTGAGGCTCATTTTACAGTGGTATCTATTGGATTTGTATGTTTCCTTGTGAAATGTAAAGATTTAGTTGCCTTTATGCAAATGCCCAAACAATCTAGACCCACCTGCTACAGAATTTAGTTGACATTTTTTAGTGTGGGAAGAATATTGAATACTCAAAGGAACATCATGATCACAGGCAGAGTCTGCCTTGGTTGCAATTAAATCTAGAGTGCATTGAAGCTATTAGGCACTGTTAATTTATAGAGATGTATCCGTGAGGTTTAAATCTTATATTTAACCTGCTAGTATTTTGCATTCTTTGGTTCCCTCTCATCAAAATGCTAATTAAATTATTAAATAAAAAATTTCAGTTTGTATTGCAAATCTTATTTAAGACCCAGCAACATCATCACTAGGTCCTTTTGCGTTTTTGTGCAATGCAGATAGATCATGGTTGGCTGGAGGAGCTAGCATGGTGCTGTACATAGCTTAATGAAAAACAAAGGTCCACATGTAATGCTGAGCCTCAATGATTTAATTACTGATGTGCAGTGAATGAAAATGGAGGGCCAGGGAAAGTAAGCTTGGGGAAGAAAGGGCTGGAAGATGCTGGTTGCCCTCCAGCTAGGAAACAAGATAGCCTCAACCCAGCCAGTTGAACACAAAAGAAACTGACAGTTCTCAATACCAACACAAGTAATGTTGGTGCAGTGGTCTCCTGTGTTGTGTCTTTGTAATCTGACAGGGGGACTCCCTGCCCCCCCACCAGATTACTCTGATCAGCACTTGCAGCCACTGGCTGCAGGCACTGATCTGATGCTGGTTTTCCAGCATGTCTCTTTTACAAAAACTGGTCATTAGTCTTTCTGTTGGACAGATAGCTGTACACACTGATTGAAAGTCAGATGGTTCATCTACTGAACTGGCAGATTTGTGGCCAGTGAGTACCCAACTTAACAGATTCAATGGAGTATCTAAAAAGTGCAGTGCTTAAATAATAAATTGTATAATAATCACTGGATGTGAATAAAAAGTTGATTAAAGTGTTACTAAACCCAAGACCTTGCATTCACTATATCTGGTCTCCCACAGTACACAGAACATGGAAATACAATTATTTTAGTAAATATAAACTTCTAAATACCTTTTCTCATCATCAGTTAGAGCAGTCTTGTGGCTTCTATCAGTGTTCAGCCCAGCACTAGCTAAAGCTTGTAGGAGGAGGTTTCTTTCTGCTCTAGGAGGATGCAAAACACCTGACCTCTGTCTTATCAGTGCTGATTGGACCTGTTGGACTGTTGTGAGTTTAATAACACTTTAAATCTGCATATTTTTATGAGAAAGATTTGCTCAAGCTATGGGTGTGATTTTCAAACAGTTCACTAATATACACCTTTTTATGAGGGTGATTTGTTCAAGTCACTTCACGTTTTGGAATCTTCATTTTCTGTACATGATCATATTGGAATTTGTATTCAAATGGGGTGATTATTATGCAAATGTATTAGTTGGGTGCTGCACTTTTTAGATACTCTATTTGTCAACGTATATTATTTGATGTACTTCCAGCTGTCCAAATATACTGAAGTGGGATTTCTTTCCTTATCAACTAGTTGCAATGGCAGGTTTATATTACAGTTGTCAAAAAAACCTCACCACTGCTACATTCTTTTTCCATATAAATGTTGATAGTTTTACACCAATCCAAACAGAATATATTTCCGGTGTTGTGCATACCTCATGGGCGGCACAGTGGCTTAGTGGTTAGCATGTCTGCCTTGCAGTAAATGGGTCATGGGTTCGATTGTCAACCATGGTGCCTCCTGCATGGAGTTTGCATGTTCTCCCTGTGCTTGCATGGGTTTCCTCCTACGCTCCAAAGACATGCTGGTAGGTTAATTGGCTCCTGTCTAAATTGTCCTAGTTTCATCCTTGGCCATGTGGGATCTCCTGGGAAAGACCTGGCAACCTTCCCTGTAAAAATAATTGCTAAGAGAATTCATTGAAAAAGTCACTTATGAGTGACGGTCCATGCAATCGCCAAGGGTTGGATACAACTGAATGGATAGATAGAGATAGAGAGCATACCAAATAAACTGAACCAATAATCCAAAAAAACTATTAAATAAACAGGGTAAAACAACACTCATAAACTATAGAAATATTACAAAATATTTTAACTTTACAAAAGTTACTCTAGTTTAAAAAAAAAATAACATATCTGTGATTTAAAGACACAAAAGGGGTTTACCACACTTTCATATCATAAACCTATGCTATTTCACTAGATAAACATGGCCTTATAGTAAGCAATTATCCATTGCTGCATGTATTCTTCACAAAGCAAGCTCTTCTTCACTTCTACCACATTGTATCCATATAATATACTTGTATCTGTTTTGTTAAAACAAGCAATTGTGGATAAAAAGCACTGTATGTATTTTCCTTCTTTTTCAAGATTCCACTTATTTCCTTTATCCATTATTGCCACATGTTCAGTACTTTTAGATCAAAATGCATAAGTCCTCTTGTTGAAAACCACACATAAGCTTGTATAGGATATTTGTAACTTAATACATTAACAATAACTGCAGATAAATGAATAGATAAATAGTGCTACGCTACTCACTATACCTAACCGGAAAGAAAAAAGTAACTGCCTGACAGAGCCCCTAACTAAGGTGATATAAGTGCATGCCTAGAAAATAATCAAACACAGGTGTTCTTTTATGAAACAGAGATCAGTGGCGATCCTGAGGATCGTTACTGATCTCAGATCATTAGTGGTTTGGGAAACAGAGATGATCAGTGGAGAGCATGTTCTCCGCTGTTCATCTCAGCACACAGATGGCCAGTGTATGAAGAAGCGATGTCAGCCCTTCACTGGCGATATGTGTTTTTTTCAAAGCTGGAGAATCGGAGGAACCGCAAACAAAGCAGCGATAATTTACCGCTGCTTAGTAAACGGTGTTTGACTGATCTCTTACTGTGATCTCGTGAGATTATAGTAAAAGCAGCCATTTTGCAGCATTTGTAGATCGCTTCTTTCTTCATTCGGAGAACTGATCTACACCGCTTCATAAAAAGGCATTCACAGAAGAACTGGGTTCTCCAAGAATGCCGGAGAACTGAGCAGAGGTCATTTACCGCTGCATGATAAAAGGACACCACAAGTGAATGAAATAACAAAAAAGACTAGATGCCCTGCTAGGCAATACCAAATATGAACAAATCAATAAGTGACACTTTTTACATGGGATCCTATCAAATTCTCTGCTCCCGAGTGAAGTTTTAGATGGCATTTAAAAAGAGAGATGGCTTGGTGGGAGGCCATATGCATGTTATACCTGTGTGAAAACTGTTATAAATGAGAGATTCCATCTGAGAATTACATCTACAGTTATTGTTAATGTATAGGCCTCATGCACACTGGTTATTGTAAAATGCTGTTTCCCTGACAGTAGAAAATCAGCATTGAAAAATGTTCACCTAAACTGCATTTTTTAAACCAGTTTAGCAGAGTTTAGCAGCGTTTGGTGTTTGGGCATTTATTTGTTTCATCAGCCAGAATTTTAATTTATTCTGGCTATTGAAATGAATTAATATTGAAGTGAAAAGTGCCTAGCATTTAGGCATGTTTAGATGCGTTTAACAGTGTCAAGTGTTTTCTCTGTTGCTCCAGGATGCACTGGCAGTGTTTTTTTTTCCTGCCTTTACCACTTGCCCTCCTGAGGATTTACCCCCCTTCCTGACCAGGCCATTTTTTGCGTTATGACACTGTGTTACTTTAACTGATGATTGCGCAGTCATGCAACGCTGCACCCAAATGAAATTAACATCCTTTTTTCCCCACTAATTGATCTTTCTTTTGGTGGCATTTGATCACCTATGCATTTTTTATTTTTTGCGCTATAAAAAAAAAAGACTGACAATTTTGAGAACAAAACAATATTTTTGACTTTTTGCTATTAAACATGTCCAGTAAAAAAATAAAAAAAATCTAATTTCATCATATATTTAGGCCAAAATGTATTCTGCTACATGTCTGCTAAAAAGAAATCCCAATACATGTAAATTAATTGGTTTATGTGAAAGTTATAGTGCTTAAAAATGGCAGTATATATACTGGACTTTTTAAAACATTTTTTACTAGTAATGGCAGTGGTCAGTGGAACTGCAGGATGCGGTGGACATTCTAACACTGGGGGGAATTGACTTGATGGCAATGACATCCCCAGCGACACCAATACAGTGATCAGTGCTAAAAAAAAAAGCACTGACACTGTACTAATGGCACTGGGCAGGAAGGGATTAATATGAGGGGCGATCAAAGGGTTAACTTTGTGCAGGGAGTGTTTTACTAGGCGACCTTGTCAGTGTGCTTCACTGTAAGCACACTGCTTTGGATGGCTGTGCTGTGCACAGCCATCCAAGGCAGTGTGCCCAACCTGACAGCGAGGAGAACTTTTAGTAAATAAAACAGTCCTCCTCCCCGCCGGAGATGCTCGGTAATCACCAGGCGCCAGTGGGTAATCACTGGCCCTGACCCAGTGATTGACAGCCACAGCTGTGAATGGTGGTGCGGGTAGGGCGCGTGTGCCCCCTACGCGGAAATTCTAAATCATGTATATATATGCGA